AAGCAAGCAAGCGTTTTTCCTTTTTGGATGACCGAACAAAACGGGAAAGTTTGCAACTGACTGAAGATCGCCTGTCCCCCATTCAGTTGCATGGAAGTACTTGTAAGTTCTTTTTTCATGACACGATTGGACAGCAAATGAATACTTCACAGATACGTAATCTGCAGCTGGAAACCACCTAATGGTGCTGATTTAGGTTATGTAACCATTTTTGAGAGAAATCAAATTGAAAAGCCTGCTCAAGGTTTGAACCCATGTCTTTCTACTATAAATCCAATGTCCTCTCAATATATTATAAATTCATACTTTTGAAAACATCCACTGAAAGATGCTGATAGTAAACGTGTCTGTCAGGGAAAGTTGGTTGGCGATCAAAGCGCTGGTTGTGTAAATAAAATTATTTATTGAGCCTAAAGAAGAAATTTAACTTATTATTTAAATTATTTTAAATGCAATCAGCAAATGTATAACCAATATGATATGCCACTAATCTTGCATATTAAGATTTCAAGCCACCTTAGGAGCATGTCATACTTGGAATATTCCACTTTGCACTGTTAGGTGAAGAGCATCGTAGCTATATTGCGGTCAGTCTGACAATAATGACAAAGAATAAAAATTCTTTTGTTGGTTAACATTTTGAACAAAGGGGGAACGAATGAGAATTGCGAAGAGTTCGAATTAAAGGCTAGAAAAAGGAAACGTCTTACTAACATTCATTATCGCCTAATAAGTGAAGACCAGGTGAAACGACTACCTGGGTTTCTTCTTGACTGCTTATCTGGCCTTCTATTGATTGGACTGTGGTAGTTTCCGGAATCTTCCAATTCTTCACCTCAGTTTCATTTCTGACTCTAGCAATAGTACTTCCGTTATATGACACGGTTGTTGATTACACCAGGTACTGAAGTGGCTGAAACCCTTTCGTCTACGAATGCGTCGCGTATGTTCCCCCACTTGTTCGGTAGTTGTCTGGCGGTTTCTTCAACAGAAATGGCCCTTCAACCCTACACAAGCTAGTGCAATTCAGATTCGTCTTGTGACGTAACATACAGATGAGCCACTTTTTCTGAATACTTCAAAATACACCAGTTTGGCTGAATTTATACCTAGATGCCGAAGTAGGGCATTTCAGCGACATTTCAGTAATTTATTGCGCTGTAGAATACAGCCGGTGCAAGCAACTGAAATTGCTGAAACATGGCCAAAATCGGTCCGTTCCTAACGAAAAATTAATTTTAAATCTGATGTCAATGGGGAGGTCATGTAAGAGAGCACATGCCACAACAGCAGATGTTGGTACTGCAGAGGGTCGTCCGCTTTAGCTGTTACATGCTCACTCAATCGATCAGGACGTGTGTGTGTCTGTGTGGACTTCAGGTAATTCACTGACTGGAACGGATCAGAAACTATGGAATAGAATTAATTAATTGTGAATAATTTGGATAAGTTATTGAATTATTCCATTTACTGGATACCTGCAAAGATGATATTTAAAATGTCACAGTACATTACTGAATTCAAACCGAGCGTAGAAGTGAATAACAGAGATAAAGATTATGATTATGATAATGAAGAATATTATATTGATGTTGTTCATGATGATGAAGATGAGGAGGAGGAGAAGAAGGAGGAAAAACTTTTATCGCGTTAATTTGAATTTGACAATTAACACATTATTGCATGTCGCCCGGCGATGCTAGGTTGATGGGACTGCAATATAAAAAAATTATCTGTATAATGACGAAGAAAGGAGCAAATGTTGGAATGGTAGAACGGTTGGTAGACGAGGGTTGGTTCAGATCCGTCTTCAACAACTATGTCCATTTCTCATAAGTGATTATACAACGGGTGATGGAGATTAGCGACGATTTGCAAAACGCCTCAGTTCTGCAGCGAACAGGCTAGATGACCTCCTCGTCAGCACTATCCAAGTGCGGCATGAGGTGAAACCTCTATGTGGTGGATGATTCATTTAATTAAGTTCAGTAGATCGATAGAAATTTTCCCGATTTGTGGTTGAGGATACCAAATAAGGCCGACAGCACGGCTTGTATTGCTGACCCGTTTCGCTACCGCACCGGTAGGATCATCGGGGTAATCAGGATGCTGAGGATGCAGTGGTGAAAAGTGACAGCAATGAATCGTCTCTGATTGGTTATCTCAACAAATTGGCTACACTTTCAAGAAAAAGAGCACAATCGAAAGCGCCAAAACTTTTTATCGCCTAATTTACGACAAAGGTGGCTGGTAAAAGTGGATCACATCTTGGACAGATATGTAGATATGTGTTGCGGCAGTTTTGTTGCTGTATAAGGCCGTGAAAGTCGGAAAATTGATGTTGGCAGTGACGATGATCAGAATTGAAAAATCCCAAATTTGGTGACATTATTGATTATTATAAGTATAATATTATTATTTATATTATCATACTAT